GGTGAAGGGTGTGCAGTGCATGGACTCGCTGCAAGGGAAGGCTGAGTTGGGTGATCGAAGGACCTGGAAGACCGTGGGATGGCAGACTTGTATTGAGCATCTTCAGTATTATTTTGCCAGTAAGAAAACTGAGGTTCAGAATTCTGCCAGTTTGCCCAAGAGGTACAGGAGGTGATGGGCCCAGGATTAGACTTCAAGTCCGTGGGTCTTCAAATTCTTTACTCTTTCCTGCATCGTGCTGCTGATGAACATGGACTTCACTCTATTGTTTACTGATCTTTAGACTTTTTTTTTTTAGTGATAAAGGCCTTTTTTTTTGCAAATAAATCTTAACCCTAAACTCTAATATATAAGAACAGATCAGGTTGTATTTCATTAGCTTAAATTTCTTTCAGATTTAAACGTGTAAGGCTTATGAGGTCAACTCAAGAAAGCAGTGGCTTTTAGGTTTTCTGTTTTTTTGTTTTAAAAAATTTTTTTAATGTTTTATTTATTTCTGAGAGAGAAAGAGAGACAGCATGAGCAGGGGAGAGTCAGAGAGAGAGGGAGACACAGAATCCGAAACAGGCTCCAGGCTCTGAGCTGTCAGCACAGAGCCCAATGTGGGGCTTGAACCCACGAATCATGAGATCATGACCTGAGCCCAAGTCAACCGCTTAACCGACTGAGGCAACCAGGCGCCCCTGTTTTTAATAAGCTTTTATTTTGCAATAATTTTAGACTTAACAGAAAAGTTGCAAAGACAGTACAAAGAGGTCCCACTTCCCAGTTCACCCAGCATTAACGTGTAATATTACCCTAGGACATTTGTCATAACTAATAAGCTGATATCGGGAAATGACTGTTAACTAAAATCCATACTTTATTTGGATCTCATCAGCTTTTCCACTAACGTCTTTTTTCAGCTTCAGTCCAGGAAACCACACTGCATTTAACCACAATGACTTTCTTTTGACAGACACTAAAGCACAAAGTCAGGAATTGCTTTACATCCTCATACACTCAGCTTTGTAATTTAAAGTAAGATAGCACCTTGAGCACTTGAAAGAAACACCTGTATGTGTAAAGAGGTATAAGCTCTGGACTGGGCATGCTGGGCGAGCAGCTTACCACCAGAATACAATTGGCATCATCATCAGGTCATGCGAGGCAGAGAAGAATCCCAGAATGCACACTCGACAAATTTGCCTTAGTCTATTTTAGCTCGGGCCGTCATACAATACACTATACCCGGCGGCTTAAACAACAGGCATTTTATGTGTTCACAGTTCTGGCAAGTAGAGGTCCTAGATGAAGGTCCTGACCAGTCTGGTTCTCAGTGAGGACTCTTCCTGGCTTGTGGATGGCTGTGTCCTCAAAGGGCCCTTTTTCTGTGTCTGTGTAGGGCAGGGAGGGGAGCGTTACCTCTCCCTGTCGGATCAGAGCTGCACCCTTATGACTTCATTTAACCTTAATTACTTCCTCAAGCCCCTATGTCCAGTGCAGGGATACTGAGGGCTAGGGCTTCCCCGTAGGAATTTGGAGGCGCAGGGGGACAGTTCAATCCATGGCGTAATCCAAAAGCTGAAATGATGGGAAATCTTTACAGTCTTGTGCCAAGACAGTGTGGCATTGAGACTTTCTCCACTTCGCACCTGTATGTGTGCGGGTGAAGATGTATTCTTTTGTAAAGCACTTGATACCTGCCAGACAGTGTTAAATATGAAGACCGTATTTTAACACCCATTAAATAAGTTAAAGAAAATGTAGTGTCCTCTGAACAGGTGGTATAAAAGCAGCATCAAGAAAAAAACATCAAACATCAAAAAAAAAAAGCTGTTACCAAAACTTTTCAGGTGGTCATTAGATTTTTACATAGGTGTTTAAAAAAAATGCTGCATCATTCAGAATAATGCCAAGTAATGCCATATAGTTATTGTTTGTTATTGGTGTGGGCCATGAGCTCTAGAATTTACTTTCCCATACCAAAGGTTATTTACTGTGTTGAAACAGGATATAGGTACCATCACTTCACAGAGTAAGAAACCACGGGGATCTATTTTGCTTTTGCTGACAAAGAAACTTACCCAGATGACTTCACCTCAACTAGTGCATACTTTCCTCTCTCGCCTACTCCTCCTCCATTACTTTGCCGCAGGCTCCCCGCATAGCCTGTGCTCAACGCTGCCAGCTTGTGGGATAAGGGCTCCTGCTGTGGCCGGTTTAGTTTGCGAGGGGAGTGCATGATGATCAAGAAAAGTGTGGAAGGAAGAATAGATTTAAAGGGAGGAGAGAGCGAGTCTGAAGTGTCTTCAAGAGAGCCAGGGAGAGATACTGTCTTTATCTTTAAAACTTTAGAGAAAACAAGTAGCATTCTGGGATAGATGTGAAGTCATCATTTTAAAGTAAGTTGAGGGGCGCCTGGGTGGCTTAGTCGGTTAAGCGTCCGACTTTCGCTTAGGTCATGATCTTGCGGTTCGTGGGTTCGAGCCCCGTGTCGGGCTCTGTGCTGACTGCCAGCTCAGAGCCTGTAGCCTGTTTCAGTCTGTGACTCCCTCTCTCTCTGACCCTCCCCTGCTCACGCTGTCTCCCTCTCTCTCTCTCCTAGAAATAAATAAAACATTAAAAAAAAAAATTTTTTAAGTAAGTTGAAAAGAATTTTTTTTTTTAATTAAAGAAGGTATACCACTGGATCAATTTATTATGGACTAGAAGATCAATAAAGGGAAGAAATAATTTGGGCTTAAAACACTGCAAAATGAGTGACTGGTTAATCATAGTGTTCTCCTAGGAAACCTGTGATATTTTGTTGGAGTATCCTGTTAATGTTCCGACCTGAGATTTGGTCAGCTGTGATATTTCTGATCACTAAAGCATCAATTCTGCCATTTTATTTTGATGAGACCCCATCATGAGTTTACACTCAGCCCTTGGGTTCTTTTATTTTTCCCAGATTTATTGACAAGTCATTGATAAATATAATTGTATATTTTCAAAGCATACAGTATGATGATGTGGTACACGTGTGCTTGTGAAATGACTGGTGAGATGAAGATAATGAATACATGTGTCACCTCACACAGTTAGGTCTTTTGTGTATGTGGTGAGAATGCTTAAGATTTACTGTCAGCAAATTTCAAGTGTACAACACCCTGTTATTAAATGTAGTCTCCGTGCTGTACCTTAAGATCCTCAGAACTTATTCATCTTGTAACTGAAAGTATGTGCCACTTGGCCTGTATCTCCCCATTCTTCTCCCCTCACCCCCGCCCCAGCCACTGCCATGTAAGTGATACCAGACGGTATTTGAGATCCCATCCGACTTATTTCATGTAATATAGTACCCTCCCAGGTTCGTTCATGCTGTCCCAGATGGCGAGATTTCCTGCTTTTTTATGGATAGTGATATGACGCAGTGTATGTGTAGGTACACGTTTTCTTTACCTTTCCTCTGTCAGCAGACACGTAGGTTGTTGCCATGTCTTACGATTGTGATAGTGCTGCAGTGAGCATGGGAACACAGATATCTCTTCCAAGTACTGATCCCATGTCCTTGGCATATATACCCAGAAGTGGGATTGCGGGATCAAATGGTGATTCTGTTTTTAATGTTTCGAGAGACCTCTGTACTAATTTTCCATTACAGCTATCCCAATTTAGATCCCCCCTCAATAATGTGTAAGTGTTCTCTTTTCTCCACATCCTCACCACCATTTGTTAATTTCTTGTCTTTTTGGTAATAGCCATCCAAACAGATGTGAGATGATTTAGAAATTAAAAAAACCATCCCACTTACAACTGTATCAAAAACAATAAAATACTTAGGACTACATTTAATCAGGGGGTAAAAGACCTGCGCAGCGAAGACCGTAAGGCATCAATGAAAGAGATTGATGAAGGCACAAATAAGTGTAAAAACAGATATCTTGTGTTCTTGGATTGGGAGAATGAATATTGTTAAAATGCCCCTACGACCCAAAGTTGTCTACAGATTCAATGTAATCTCTATCAAAATTCCAATAGCATTTTTCACAAAAAAATAGAAAAATCTAGGCTCAAATTAATATAGAACCACAAAGGACTGTGACTAGCTAAAGCTATCTTGAGACAGGAAACAAGCTTCAGGCATTACACTTGTGATTTCAAACTATGTTACAAAGTATAATTATCAAAACAGTAAGGTACTGGCATAAAAACAGACACATAGGCCAACAGAACAGAGTACACAGCTTGGAAATAAACCCATGTACATAAAGGCCATGTACATGTGGTCAATTAGTCTTTGACAAAGGGGCCAAGAACATACAGGGGGGAAAGTCTCTTCAATAAATGGTGCTGGGAAAACTGACAGCCACATGCAAAGGATGTGGACACTGGACACTATCTTACACTATACACAAAAACTAACTTGAATTAGGGACGCCTGGTGGCTCAGTCAGTTAAGCATCCAACTCCTGGTTTTGACTCATGTAATGATCTCGTGGTTCATGAGTTTGAGGCCGACATCAGACTCTGCTAACAGCATGAATTCTCTGTCTCCTTCTCTCCCTGCCCCTCCCCTGCTCGCTTGCTCTCTCTCTCTCTCTGTCACTCTCAAAAATAAATAAACTTTAAAACAATTAACTGGAATTAAAGACTTGAGTGTAAGACCTTGGGTTCTTAATTACGTAGTTCAACTGGAACAGTATATCACAAAGTCCAGGTCACGCTTGGGTCCGGAGCTCCAGTGCAGAATGTCGTAAACCGTAGGCACTCTTCATTGTTGTAACGTAGCGTTTCCCTGTTACCAATTCTTCTCCCCTGTCCAGTTCACACTCCCGTCTCTCTGGAGCCTCTTGGAAAGTGTGCCAGACAGCACGGTCCTTCTGTGGGCTTCAGAGGGCAGCACAGCCTCCATCTTCAGCTTGCTCTGGGATGCTGAAGCTGTTCCCCCAAACCCTGTCCATGGGGTGGCCCCCGAGCCTGGCTGCCTCCTGCAGATGCGAGGGGAAGGTGCTCACGGGCCTGTTCTCTGCTTGCAGGTTGTCCCCATGCTTCCCAGGCTTCTGTGCGAGGAGCTGTGCAGCCTCCATCCCATGACCGACAAGCTGACCTTCTCTGTGATCTGGACACTCACCCCGGAGGGCAAGGTAACAGCTTACGCGTGTGACCGGTTTGTTTGGCGTGTCCCTGCGAATCACCCACCACATGCCTGGTGCCCAGTGGAGTCCCACAGTGGTGGGGGGAGGGCCCTGCGTGGGAGATCACCACAGACCAGAACAGAAAAGAGCCCCCTGGCTCAGAAGACCTGTCCATTCGTTTAGAAGTCCAGACCGACCCTAAGCAGTTAGAAACAGGTTATTTCTCTCTTATCTTATATCAAATGAAAGAAGGAATTGTGTAAACAAAGTCACGGCAGAGTCTTAGTGCAGGAGATGAGGAGTAAAGGAAGGTGCGTGCGGACTGGGAGCGGCAGAAGGGGCCTCCTGAGCTACAGTTGGGAGAGCAGGCCCTGTTGGAAGGAGGACGCCAGGGGAAAGGGTTGTGTTTGGGGAGGTGACATGGAATCAAACTGTGGGGACCCTCAAATGCCAGTCACATATGAATTCTGGGTGTTAGGTTTCCTCTGAAGTGTCATGAGAAAGGTGCCATTTTGGAAAGATTAGCACCGCATCATCATGCAAGTAACCTGGTAGCTGGAAGGTGAATTAAATTGGCACAAAGCGATGCCACAATCAAGGCCCAAAGTGATGAAACTATGGACCAAGCACAGAAAGAAGAATGTCAGCAGGCACTCCCTAAGGTGGGGAATAAATGAAATGGATTAAATGGAAAATAACTCCAGGAAAAACTAGTCTTCTCCCCGCAAACAAACAACCCTAAACATCTAAAAATAAGGTCATGATTAAGTAACAAACAGCTCTGATTCAGTGGAATGTTCTGCAGTTACTAAAGCTGTTACAGAGACCATGTAAGAGCAGAGGAAATGTTTATGCTGTAATATTAAATGGAAGTAAAAAGAAGATATTTAATTATAAAGAGGTTCCAAATAAAGATGGAGGATCAAATACCCACATTTACTTTCATTCCCTCCCAAAACCTCACTAAAACAACAGTGAGGAGATTTTTTTTAAGACATAAACCCACAAGGACAAAGAGAATGGGAGAGCAGACAACAGCAACAAAACTTTGGAAGTGGGATGGAGATGGATGAGTGGTAACTGACTTAGCAGTCCTGAGAAAGCTGAATCTCGAGCCAACAATTGAGAAAGCCAAGAAACAACTCGGTTTTGCACAGCTGAACCCTAAAGAAATTCAGAAATTGACAGCCCCAGGCAACTCCACAATGCCGAGGAGAGGTGGGTGAAGAGGAGACTAATTGTATTGGTTGAAAGTTCATTTAGAAAGATTGGCCCTCCCATAACTTGGAAGAAGAACAGAAATTTCTTCTCTGGTGAGGATAAAGTTAAGGATGTCTGAACCAGGGACACCAAGCACTCGGCATGGTAGTGGTCGTTTGGGACAGGTTGGTTGAGTGCTGGCATCCTGAATGTTAAAAATCCCAGCTTTCTTTTCCAACTGAACCCAGAATTCTGGTCACCAAGCCTTTTACTCTTGAGTCAGGAGATAAGAAACTCTTTTCTTGAGGAATCTGAGTGTGAAGATGTAAGGATAATTACCTCAGGGGCTTCCTAACCAACAGCTCAGTTGCATCTCCCTGTAGGGAAGCTGAGAGCCAGTAAACTCCATCAACACAAGCAGAGCTTCTTAGAATTTCACTAAAAATCAGCATTTTACTATTTCACTTTCACATATGAAGGGACATCCAAGGGGCGCCTGGTTGGCTGAGTCAGGGGAGCATATGACTCTTGATCTTGGGGTCATGTGTTCAAGCCTCACGTTGGGCATAGAGCTTACTTAAAAAAGAGAAACAATCAAAACTAAAAAGCATCTAGCATGAAATAGAAAAACCAAAGCAAACAAACAGAAAAAAGCAACTAGGACAAAACAGACTATACAGGGAAAAGAAACTATCATTTATATCTCTAGAAAAATTTTTAAAGAAATTATAAGATCTAGATTCTTTAAAAAAGAAACAGGGGAGCAGGGAGGAAGAGCTCATGGAAATTTAAAACATGATAGAAGAAATAAAGAAGACTCAAAATTCTGGTTGGCAGATAGAGTTAGGGAGTTGTCCCAGAAAGAGATAGAACAAGTAAGAAAATTAGAGGACTCGTCCAGGATATCCAGTATCTCTCTGTTCAATGAACATTCCAGAAATAGGGAACAATCGAAAAAGGGAGAAGAAATGATCAACAAAATCCCTCAAGGAAATGCCCCTTTCCTGCAGGATTTGACTTTCCAGATTGAGAGAACCCAGTGCCCAGCACTGTGGTGGATACACATCATCTCCAGACCACATCATCATAAAATCTCAGAACACAAAGGACAAAGGAAAGATCCTCTTGGCTTCTAAGAAGGAAAAAAAGTCACATACTGTAGTTCAGAACTAAGAATAACTTAAGACTATTCTGTTATAACCCTGGAAGTTAGATGGTAATGAAACAAAGCTTTCTAATTTCTGAGAGACTATGATTTTAATGCTAAAATTCTGTACCCAGCTAAGCTATCAAAAAAATGTGTGAATCGGAAAGGACATTTTCAGGACACTTGGGTGGCTTAGTCAATTGAGCGTCCAACTTCAACTCAGGTCATGATCACACCTTTCATCAGTTCAAGCCCCACATAGAGCTCTCTGCTGCCAACAACATAGAGCCCACTTCAGAGCCTCTCTCACTGCCCCTCCCCTGCTCAAGCTCGAGTGTGTATTCTCTCTCTCTCTGTCTCTCTCTCTCTGTCTCTCTCTCTCTCTCTCTCTCTGTCTCTTTCTCTGTCTCTTTCTCTCTCAAAAATAAATAAGCATTTAAAAAAAGGGAAAGAACATTTTCAGATATGCAAGGCCTCAAAAAAAATGTACCTCTCATATACCCTTTCTCAGGAAGCTACCAAAAGATGTGTTTTACCAGAATGAAAGCGTAAAATCAGGAAGGAGGAAGACCTAGTATTCAGGGAGCAAATAAACCAACCCAGGAAAGCAATGAAAGAATCACCTAGATCACAGGTTGGGAAACTTTTTCCGTAAAGGACAGGATAGTACTTTTTTCTTCTTCTTCAGTTTTTAGGCTATTTGGTCTCTGTCACAACCACTCAGCTCTACCATTATGCCATTGTAGTGCAAAAGTAGACAATATGACAATACATAAGTGAAAGAGGGTGGCTGTGTTCCAGTAAAACTTTACTTAAAAACAGATGGCAGGCTGGATGTGGCCCACAGGCCACAATTTTCTGTGCATGATGGTGAAGAAGGCCCCTCGGGCACCAGCTCACATAGGTATAAAAGACAACCAGACCGGCCTCGACTGCCACAGTGCAGAAGGCTTAAGAGACAGGGTCTTCGAGAAAATGAAATAAATAAAAGATCCATATATCTGAATTTTTTGAGAGATGATTTAGACAAGCACTTGTAGAACTTTTTGGTCTGAGGACTTATTCCACCAAAAAAATCTTCAGTGACCTCAAAATGCTTGTGTTCATGTGGATTGCCACTGCTTAGCCTGTTAAAAATTAAAACTACTAAAATTTTTAAATATATACTTATTTAAATTAAAGTAATAATAAGCCTAATTCATTATGTTACTGTAAATAACATTTCATGAAAAATAACTCTATTTTCTAAAAATTAGAAGAATTTCATATTTTCATAAATCTTCTTCACAACTGTATTAAGAAAGGCATTAAACCAGCTTCTCATATGTGCCTTAATAGTCAATCTTTTGGCGTCAGTTATGTTGGTTGAATTATGTATGTGAAGAAAATCCAGCTTCAAACAGATGCATAGCTGGAAAAGAAAGGTGTGTTTATTTATGAGAGAGAAGGGGCAGCGGAAAGAGAATCTTAAGTGGGTTCCACGCCCAGCTCGGAGGCTCCATCTCACAAACCTTGAGATCGTGACCTGAAATGAAATCAAGAGTTGGACGCTTAACCGACTGAGCCATTCAGGTGCCCCAAAAGCTTTTTCAGGTAATTGTGGAGATTTGTCCTTCCATGACACCAGAATTTGACAGTTTCTTAAAACTTAGTTCCATTCTAAATCTGAGACCGTATCTGCTAGGGACTATATTCTGCACGCCTGAAACTCAACATGTTGAAGCTCTGGTGTCCCAGTGTGCATCTGGAGGTAGAGCCTACAAGGAGATAATTAAGGTTAAATGAGGTCATGGGGTGGGGGGGCTGATCTGGTAGAATTAATGTGTTTATAAGAAGAGACCAGAGAGCTTGCCCTTTCTCCCCGATGTGAGGACACAGTGAGAAGGGTGGTCATCCTCAAGCCAGAAAGAGCCTCTCTCACCATGAACCGAGTTTGCTGGCACCTTGATCTTGTCCTTTCCAGCCTCTAGAACTGTGAGAAAGCAGTGTCTGCTGTTTAAGCCACCCATACTGGGGTATGCTGTTACGACAGCCCTAGTGGACTCATACAGTATCAATTAAACCTTTCTTACTTACATTAAAATCTGTCTTACATTTTATTTTTTTAAATGTTTTTGAGAGAGAGAGAGTAGGAGAGGGGCAGAGAGCAAGAGAGATAGAGGAGATCCAAAGCATCTCTGCTATGACAGCGGAGAGCCCGACGTGAGGCTCAAACCCACGAACCACGAGATCGTGATCTGAGCCAAAGTTGGACACTTGACTGACTTAGCCACCCAGGTGCCCCAGTCTTACACATTAAACGGACCTTTTACCTAAACAATGCTTTTTTTTTTTATCATGCATTTAGAAAGTTTAGATCATTTAGAAAATACTGGCTCATTATGCTGATCTTCTACATGTGAATATATTTCATTATATGATACCCAAAAAATCACATTGGTTAATATCACTACTGATCTTAGACAGGTCTTTAAGTATTAGGAAACGTGTATCATGTGTCAGATACAAGGTTTCCAAAATTCTCATTTTTGTGAAAGCTCGGATTTTATCGTGGGCAGTAAATAATATCAGTTGTTTTTCTTGAAGTGCCAAATAACCATAGTTTGAATATTATGTGTTCCTTCAAGTAAAAATGGTGTTCTGTAAAAAAAGCAATCAGTTT